TTTCAGCCTTGTAGACTTTGTGATTTCCGAGATAATAATTTACCCGTAAAATCTTTCATTAGCTCGCAGGTGATACCCGACAGCGCGGGAACGCTGAATTTGAATGGGCAAGGATGAGCGTGGGCAGAGAGTAATTACTCTAAAATTTCAGCCTTCTAGACTCCGTGGTTCCCGAGATATTAATTTACCCGCAAAAAATTTTCACGGGACCGTACGTGCTACCCGCAGGTACGGGAAGGCTGAATTTAAATTTGCCGCATCACCCACTGGCGGGAAACACTATAACAAAACTTCGGCCACCTAGCATTTGTGGTTCCCGAGTTGAAAGTGCGGGACAAAATGTGGGACACATACACAGACAACCCGGTGACAATATGCGTTTTGTAATGCTGTCACACAGCACAAAACGCATAAAAATTGAGAAAAAAAAAGGTATAAAGAGCTATTAAGAGAGGTATTTTCGGTAAGCAGTGGTGCTTTCGCTGAGAGAGTGGAAAACACCGATGCACAAATTTTTTTTATTCCCAAAATATCAGACAACATAAAGCGTAACATCGACTAGCAAAAACACGGAACAAAAGTAGAACTTCACCAGAATGATGAGGAGGGACTTGCAAAAAGAACAAAGTTTAATAGAAAACACCGCACAACAAAAATAAGAATGCGCCAAAACTATGTGCGCAAGTAAGAAAATTTGAAATATTACCACAGTAGAAAGAATTTAACTGGAGCAGAAATCTGTCAAATATGGCAGAATTTGGATAAAGAAATCAAGAGATTTAGTTATTAAAAATAACGAAATCAAGAAATTTAGTATTAAAAAAAACAAAAACAATATGAAAATACAAATTTTAGCAAGACAGCAATAAAACGCGATGTACCAGGATCAGTTAAAAGTGAGCAAAAGTGCCCAAATATGCGTATTTTGGCTGTAACATATGGTCACTTTCGAACCATTGACCAGAGATCACCCAACCTACACAGAGGTCACCACCTGTAACTCCTAGCAAGAAGAGATGCTGTTTCCCAAAAAAGCGAGGCGTTTAAGCCGAAAAATGCCTTTTGCTCCTGTTGTAGGCCGCCGAGTACATCGCTGATAAGCAGATCATCAGAAGACCATCTGAGCTACACAGCAAAAACGCATAAAAATTGCACAACACGAAACAATTCAAAAAGAAAAAGATAAGTTCCGGTCCCTAGGAGTTGAGGTATGCATCACAATGATGATGAATCGTCGACGGATTGTAAAGGTGCTGTTGAATTGTAGTGCTCGCCCAGTTCGTATGCATATCGATGGAATGTGATAACCAGAGGTTCTGTTTTTTCGAATTCTTCACCAAATGTCAAAATGCTATTTGGGTATTGTTCGGTTGGCTGCACAACCTCGATACGTCTCTCCAAATTACAAGCTATTGCTCGAAGCTGAAACCGGAGGATACTTGTACTTTGATAAATGAATATATGATAATCAAAATTAACGCTTATTAAAAAAAACACACACACAAAAAAAACACGAACACTTTATCTTGCTCTAAATTGAGTTCATTTGACTAATAATACTCAGGACATTCCGAGATAGCTCAAGCCATACTTTCAACTTTCTGATTAATTTGTACGCAGTCATCTGTTAAGCAAACAAAA